TCTTAAAATCTGGATATAATGCTTCAATTCCTAAGGTTGAACTATACCAATTTTTTTAGAGAAAATCCGCATTGTTGGATACGTAAGTGTAGAAGGTTCTTTAAGATGAATTTTATACTCGTTCACTAGTGGATAGAGATTGCATCTATGTATTTGGAAGGTCGAGCGAAATCGATTAGAAGATTTTGTGGTAGGAAGTGATTTAAGTAATTGGGAAGAGTTTCTTAAAGAGATTTATAGAAGGTTTGGTAGTAGGAAGGATGTAGTCAAGGAGTTTAATAAACTAAGTCAAGAGAGGGATGTTGATGAATATATGAAACGGTTTGAAGAGCTTAAGTCTTCGATGATTGTGAATAATCCTCATCTTCTTGAATCTTACTTTGTCTTTATCATCATTAATGGACTCAAAGAAGATATAAAACCAATTCTCAAAATTTTGAAACCCAATACCCTAATCCAAGCCTTTGATCAAGTAAAATGGCGGGAAAAATCTACTATTGTCATGTTTAAGAAAGTCGAATTATCTAAAAAACTTTACCATTTTACAACAACACTAAACCATATCTCGATTAGTACCAAAGAACTAATCAAACTTGAAACTAATAAACACTACAAACCTACCAATTCTAAAAAAACCAAACAAAAACATTGCGGGACCAAAGAAGAAGATTAGGATTATGCTTTAGATATGGGAAGAAATATTCTTTTGGTCATCGGTGTATAAAAAGATCTATGCATGTGATGGAAGGTGTTTAAGAGGAATATAAGGAATTTGTAGTATGGAAGAGGGTATTGAGGGGAAAAGATTGTTATGAGACAAGATTAATGAGGAGTATGGGTTATCTTTGCATGCTTTAGTAGTACATTATGAAAATAACACCATGAAGATCAAAAGAAGTTGTAAGCACAAAGACGGATCAAAAGAAGTTGTAAGCACAAAGACATTACCATATTCATTGATAGCGGTAGTACACATAGCTTCATCAATTGTGGTTTAGTTACGGAACTCAATGTCTGAAGTAGAATATACTACTATATTATTTATAATAGTAGCTAATTGAGATGTTATGAAATGCCAAGTTGGGAGTCTTGGCTTTACATGATTCATGCAAAGGTATAAATTCAAGGTCGATCTATGGGTGCTTAAGCTGGGAGGGTGTGACATGGTTTTGAAAGTGGACTGGCTCGAGAGGTACTCTCTTATCGTGTTTGACTTCATTAATATGAAGTTATCTTTTTTTTAAAAAAAAAAAGAAGAAGGATGATTGAGCTCAAGGGTATCATATATATTAAATAATGAGTTTTACAATAGATTTCAACCGATAGTATACACAAGGCATTAAACGAAATTATGTGTGGGTTAGTGAGATATTTTTTTCTACGGTAGCCTATGAGGAAACAACAGAGGAAAACAACAAGAAGATCAAGACATTGTTACTTCAATATGAAGATGTGTTTGCGGGATCAACATGATTGCCTCTTGAAAGGCAATTTCATAATAGAATTCCCTTGTTTTCAAGAGCAAAGGTAGTGAATGTTAGACCCTACATGAGCTTATTTGTGCATAAAGAAGAAATAGAAAAATCAGTCAAAAAGATACAATAAGGAGTTATCCAACCAAGTTGCACCCCATTTGCATTTCAAGTACTTTGGGTTAAGAAGAAGGATGGTACTTCGAGATTTTGTATGGATTATAGATAGCTAAATGATAGAACTATCAAAAACAAATTTCCAATCTCATTGATTGATGATTTGTTGGATGCTCTGTCTATAAAAGGATTTTCACATGAGGGGTTAAGGATAGTTTGTAAGAAGGAAGTCTTAGAGCAATCACGGTTGTGGTTCCTCCATAGTATAGTCAAATTGTGGTTTCTTACAATAATGATAGCAAGATACAAGAGATAATAACTATAACATATTGTTGACCTTACTATTTTTCATCAATATACCTATACGGACGGTATATTGAGATATAAATAGAGATTGTTCATTGGAGAAAATAGAAAGCTGCGAAAGAAGCTAGTGGAAACAACCCATAATTCTACTACTTGGAAGACATGCTAGGATACAAAACTCCTACAAAAGGTTTAAGATTGTTTTTTGTTAGCCACGCATGAAGTAAATAATGAAGAATTACATGAAGGAGTGTGATGTTTATATGAAGGCTAAGTAAAAAAAGATGACCTATCTAGGATTATTATAGTCACCGCCTATTCTCGATGGTGCTTAGAAAGATATGGCAATGGATTTTGTTGAAAAGTTGCCTAAATCCGAAAGAAAAGATGTTATCTTGGTGATTGTGGAATAATTCACCAAGTCTGGGCATTTTATTGGTTTATCTCACCCTTTTTCATCTAAGGAGATGGCCAAGAAATTTTTAAAGAAGGTTTACAAGTTGTATAGACTCGCTAGCTTTAATTGTCATAAATAAGGATAAGATTTTTACCGGTTTATTTGGGAAGGAATTGTTCAAGTACTTGGGCATCAAGTTGCATATGAGCTCAACATGTGGCTTTCAACCGATGGCCGGACAAAGATGCTAAATCAATGTCTTAAGTCTTATTTGAAGTACATGTGTATGGATTATCCTAAGAAGTGGTTTCATTAATTATATCATTTTCATCCTGCTATTTAAATGTCTCTCTTCCAAACTTTGTATGGCTTTTCACCACCAACTAGAGATATAACTTTCTAGAGAATATCTTCGATGGTTGATGTTGTTGACTTTGTATGAAAAATGAGGGCCATGGATCTGTTCTTAAATGCCAAGTTAGCACTAGGGCAACGGAGAATGAAACAAATTGTTGACCGGAGGAAGACCGAACGAGAATTTGCGGTAGAGGATTTCGTGTACTTGAGACTTCGACCTTACGGACAAGTAATTATGGCCCTATGAAAGAATTTTAAATTGAATCCAAGATACTATGGACCCTATCTTATTCTACAATGAGTTGGGAAGATGGCTTATAAGTTGGATTTGTCACAAAAATCTCTAATCCATCCCGTTTTTCATGTCTCTTTATTAAAGAAGAAGGTGGGCAACAATACGATAATTTCTACTTCTTTACCAGCTATTGATGATGATGGCCATATGAAGTCGTCTCAAGTAGCTATGCTTGATAGAAAGATCATGAAGAGGAACAACCAGTGAAGTGATGAGGTCGATACAATAGAGTGATCTATTTGAGGAGGATGTTACATGAAAAATTTTACGCGATATGGAGGCTCATTTTCCTAAATTTTGCTTTTATCCTTAAGGGCAAGGATACTGTCTAAGGGAGGGTAATGTTAGGAACAAAGAATTAAGGTTCTTTATTAAAGAACCGATTGTTTATTAATTGCTTATGTGGTAGTAAGTTATAGTGTTAGATGAGTCGGCATAGTCGATTGATGATTAGAATAAAATTAAGGAGGAAGGAGGGAATTATGGGATTCATTCAATTCGGTTGTAAAAAGAAATCAAATGAGAATTCTCTTTTCAAAACCTTCTTCTTCTTCTTCCTCCTCAATCTTCTTCTAAATCTCTTTGTTAAGAAAAACGTTTAACATATACGTGCAAAATCATAGGCACTACCTCCCTAGACTCGGTAGAATTGTTCTGCGTAATGGTGCCTTCTCATTTTTACTAATGACATATATTCTAGTATAGTTGGGTTTTGTATATGTTAAGAAAATACTAGTAACTTACACGGCTAGAGCCACTACAACTTGGCCCGTTAAGTACGCGATTATCCGTTTTTACAAAACTTTTAAAAAAAATTTTAACTAGTCATACTAACTTTATCATCTTTTCTTGATGTCCCTATCTATATAGTTATTAGTTCTTCTATTATTAATCTTTATTTTCTATGTTTTAAAGACTTATCTTAAAACACAAACTAAGAATAAAAATTCCAAACATGTGAGTTTTTTGTTTAACTTACACACTCAAGACTCCTAATAGAACTAATCTGCTAAAATTTTAACATGTGATCTCTTATTTAAGAGATTACTATTACTTAACTACAAGCTTTTTGGTCCAAATGTGCAAGTTGGATGATTGAAAGCTGCGTGAATTTGTAACCGATCTTGTGCATTTGAAAGGTGATTTATGTGCCAAAAATGAGATTTCCGAGAATATAAAATTATCTTAGAAATGCTAGATTCTTTAACTCGGAAAAATTTGAAAAAAAGGTAGTCTCTCGTGTTTTTGGAGAATCACTTGTGTAACAGTATTGATTTGAAATGGCGATTTTCTTTGTGGAAGCCATGCGGATTCAATGCAATATGCTAATAGGTCACGGAAGTAGCAAGCCAGGACTAGTGCATTACTGGACCATGCTTAAATATCCTTTCAAATCATCATTCACCATGATGCATCTCATCCCTGTGAATTTTCTATCATCACATGCACTGCTCTAATTTGATAATGGCCAAACCAACAACTGCTAGCCCTACGTGGAATACTAACGTGCACAACCCAGTAATGCCACGTGGCACATACCCAGTTGCTTATCTTTCTCCCGGTTCTTTATAGACCAGAGGTGCTAGGGAAAAAAAATCTATGAACATGATAGCTACTTCATTCACCATTCAAAGCCACAGACATTTGATCCTCCAAATACACAAACTTGTGTCCAAAAGCACCAATTAATTCAATGTTCAAACAAACTTTTTCTTCCTTTTGTTCGCTTTCTTCAATTCTTTCATTATTTCTTTTTTCGTTTTTTTTTCCTGCACAAATACATGCTATTATATGTTACAAGATGTCAAATTAAAGGCACAATTAGATGAGGATGCGTTTGACATTGACTTGACAACCCACGTACCTCTATTAACAAACCAGACAAGGCCCATCCAATTAGAAAATTAAGGAACCCAACAACGAAGTTTCGACAACCAAAATAAAACTAGAGGTAAAAGAAAAAATAAAATAAAGAAGAAACTCAATGGGGTCATGTTGCTTTTTTGGCCTCACTGAAGCAGTTCCGATCATTGTTGAGACTCCGAAGTCTATCCAATCAGAATATTGCTGACTTGTTCCTACGGTTTACTCGGATAGGCAACCCCGATTTGGGCACAGGGAAAGGGCCATATTGTATATCATCCTTGTCTCCCACAGTTTGCCACCTGAAGCCAAGCATCACAAAATTACAAATTAAAACAGAAATATCTGCTGCCAAAAAAAAAAAAAAAAAAAAAGGAAGAAAGAAAGAAAATCGACAGAAGACATCTAGATCTTGCAATATTTTAATAACATGAAAACAAATTAAATTTTTTGATTAAAGAATTGATCACTTGCAAAGTTTATGGCCATATATATCAGACTCTTTGTCGTCAACAATATTGGCTGCATTTTGTATGCGCATGCTAATGATAGCGTCATTGTCAGAGACAGAATTACGACCATACCGTATTAAAGTCAATACTCATGACAGACAATTTTGAATGTCTAAAACCCATTTGGATATTGTAATGAAAATACATTAATGTATAGTTTCTGTTTTACTTAAGTATTTTTCCATCGGTTTTCATTTGAATTGAGATTAAATCTCTTTTGAGAGACCTAAATTAATGATTTTAGATATATTTTTTATCGATTCGATACATTATTATTTTAAAATTCAAACTTAAGAGATCAAGGGAGAGAAAAAAACTTTCTTAATCACCTAACTACCACTCAAATAATGTGTGTGTGTGTCAAAAGTAATTCTAAAAGTGATAAAAGTAAAAGAAATAGTAGTAATTTTGAAGAGGCATAAAACGTTATATGCGTAATTGTTAAAAGCAAAAAGAAAAAGTAGTAAGTACGCGAACCTATCCATACTCTATAGATACCAAAACAGTAAGGACAAAGTAAGAGAAATGATGTGGCACACGTTGAAGGTTCAGCAGAAGAAAATAAGGTTGTGGTGTCAACCAAACCCTGACCCCGTTCCTCGATGACTCGCCATTGAATTTGTCTATAGTAAGTTCTACAGCTGGCAGCAGCTTAAATGGGTTCATAGGCATTTTTTATTTTTAAGACAGCGTAGCTGGCAACTATGTCGCTTGCTATCTAAAGACTTAAGGAGTGTTATGTGTGATTTGCGTGCTTTAATACTACTCCCAAGAGCCGCTGTTGGTTGTGGATTAGAGAGCTACGGATACGAGGAGGAAGGCAAATTTTGGATTCAAATAGTTTTTTGGATATGCATATGCACATGTGGTAATGAAAATTTCAGAAAAAAAAGATATATATATATATATATACATGGTCTATGGTGAGTTATCCTTGACTTCATCTGTATGTACGTATTCGTTAGTCAAACATATCAAAATCTTAAATAAGAACAAAGATGCAAAAGTCAAATTTAGAAGCAAATTGATTATGATGGCTTAAATTAGAAACTATATATGAGTCACATGTCACCAATCATTTACGTAAATAAGTAATGCCAATCCTATCGAATAACTTCAATCTGTATAGCCCAAAACGCTGTAGAAAATAATATGAAAATTGAAGAAAATTCCTATGGAGTACGTATATGTTATCCACATTATTATTAATCTCTCACCTGTTGGACACCATTCACCGATTATCAACTTAATTGCTCCTCCTCTAATTCTAAATCTTCTAACGATATGTCATGCAAAGGTAATGGAATTAAGTACGTTAGATAAATACATCATGCATGAAAGCCACGTGTTATGAGAATGATTCTAAATTCTATTTTTGCTATGTTGGTATCCACCACAAATATTAGATTCCACTTAACAAAATCAAAATAAAGAAGCTAAGCCCGGTGGTTTTTCCTTGTGACCAAGGACCACTTCCGCAGCTTAAGGAAAATTAAGAGGACCACCATAGTACACCACCATCGAAGCCTCCCCCAGTATATCATCAGTCGACAAAATAACTTTTCAAGAAAACCTAACCTACGTGGCAATACCTTTATCTTCCATTTCAAGACAACTATATATATATATATATAGACATAGACACACACACATGCAACCTTTCATAAGCTTAGCCTAAGTACTATATACTCTTGCTGTGTTCTTCATAGATAATTATTAGCGTGTATGAGAGAGAGGGGGACCTGTAAGTGGTAGTGAGATGGTGCAGGAGAATGAGCATCTCAAGCTTGGCTAGTTCACTGCCTGGACAGGAGTGCACTCCATTGCCAAAGGGCATGTACGTGTTAGGTCTCGGTGGCGCCTGCAACATCACAGAAAATACAAGTTTAACCTATTATACACTTATATCTATATCACCTCTCAATCAATTCCTTGCCAATGATCATCAACAACGGAATAAGCTCTGGATATATATATAATCTTTTTTCGACAAATAGGACATGATATATGTGATTCCAAACAAGATCACACTCATCGCACTGCTACAGTCACTGTTTATGTTTGCTATACTACCCCACAAAAACCAACTCACGTGATCTGACTAATTGATAATCTAAATACAAGAAAGATTCACATAAACAAAAATGAAAAGGACATTACTCATCAACCGGAATAATCTACCCATTGCTAACCTTATAATTCCACACAGAAATAAGATAGAATGTAGCAGTGCATGACCCACTTCATGAATTTTTGTCAGTGACTCAGTAGCACAGTATGCAAAGAGACATATATAATTACAGGCAACCTAGCTACATGTATGTGCACATATATATGTATGTATGTATATATATGTATGTATGCTTTTGGGGTGTAGCTAACTGACTGTACGTAAGTGAATTAATTATTGTGGCACTAGCTCACCTCGAATCTTGAAGGATCAAATTTTTCGGGTTGAGGGAAATAATCTGCACAATGATGAATGCTTCTAAAGAGAGGAAGAACCTTCCAGCCTTTGGGGATAAAGTAGCCTTCAAACTCAACATCTTGGACTGCTTCTCTGAACGTGAAAGACAGTATACTTGCTGTTCTTAGCGTCTCTTGGATCACCTGAAATATTTGTTTTTTATTCCCTTCGATTAAAATTATAACCCACACATAATATAGTTATATTAAATTAATTTCTTTTATTTGAAGATGAGATTTTTTCTTATTCTTTTCTCTTAATTCTTATCTTTTTAGAAACTAAATTATGTTAAATTTGTCAAAATTTATATTTGTACCCGGCTAGTCAACGGCATGCGCCTCGTATCATCCCACGTAAGCCCACGATTTGCCTCTACTATTTTGCTTCTAATTCCTTCTTGTTCTCTCTACAAGAAACAATTAATTTTCAATGAATAGTATATATCCTACACAATATATAATTGCATAATATAAGATTTGATTTCTTTCTACGCCGCAAGCTTCTCTCTTCAAGGCATTAATTTAATATATAGACCAATGATAGGTCAAAATAATAATAATAATAAAAAATTGAAATGAAATCAGAAAAGATCAACTTAATGAAGACAAATGAGTAAAAACATAAAAAATTAGATACAATTACAAATGTTTAAATATTTACCGAGACAGCATCTAATAAATCTTGATTATCATGCAAGTATTTCAAAATCCATGTTAGGACAGTAGCAGTAGTATCATGAGCAGCAAAAATCACTCCAATTATATTATCAGCAATTTGAGAATCACTAAGCTGATCAAGCTTCTCATCATGATCTTTAGCTCCTAATAATACTCCAAGCAAGCCTCCTCCATATCTCCCGCTTTGCCTTCTCTTCCGTATCAATTTCCTCAATGTCTCGTTAAGTAGCTTCCTTGCCTTTTCAAACAAACATCAAAACCCGGTATTCGTAATTATTAATTATAAATTAAAACTAGACAAAAAACAATAAATTAATGTATAGAAAAGTCATCATATACAGTAATATTATTTCTTCAATATACTTTGACAATATATACAATGTGTGCACTTCAAGACAAGGACCATGTAAAGACACCAATTAAGCATGAAGCAATAACCACAGAAAATTCAAGAGAGAGTGGACCTAGCTAGTTAGCTTCTTACTTTCATTGCTTTGTGAAATGGTGTTCCTGGTAAATCCAGAGGCATAGAGTTATATCCCTTCTCCAGGCACTGATACAGTTGCTTAATTCCTTCCATTTCCAAGTCTTGTTTTTCGCCAAAGGCAGAAATCATTGCCACATCAAAAGCATACTAAAAGGGAAAAATGAAAAGAAAGAAAAAGTACTTTTTTTAGAATCTTAATGAGACAAAAGTTTAAGTAGTGAAAGATAAATTTAGTTTTTAAGAAACCGACATATATACATATATGCATACCCTCTTCATTTCTTGTAAAGTGTTAATAGTGCTATTTTTCCAAGTCGGAAGAAATCTCTGGACAATCTGCTCAATCTCTGAGACAGACCCTCGTATAGCAGAGGGTAAAAAAGAGGCCTGCACCAACTTCTTGAGCCTTGAATGATAGGGACCTTGATGAAAGAACAGAGCCTCTGGTCCTATCATTTTTTCTTTACTTGTCGGATATGTCGGCTTGAACAGGTGAGCCCGAGTCACTAGAACAATTCTTGCTGCTTCTGGACTTGAAATCATCACACAAGGACATCCCAATATGTGCGTCTTAAATATGTCACCAAACCTGCAAATTAATTAAAAAAATGAGCTCGATTATCAACAACACACACACACCAAAAAAAAAAAAAAAAAAAAGAAGATTGAGCAACAAAACATATATATTTATATATACGCAGTAGGGTATGCCTTTTTTTATTCTATATATAGTATGTATATATATAGTGTAACTTTTGTATACCGTTTTTGCCTATTGGAGAAGAAGGAATTTGGGTTCTCAGTGTAGAGCTTGAGTGTCTCTCCAATATAAGGCCAACCCATTGAGCCAGGAGGTAGGCGTTTGTCTTTGGGGTGACACCATTGACGAAAAAGAAGCAACCACAAAAACCAACAGAATAGGACTGTAGGTACCATCAGAAAAACAACCTGAGAATATCGTAATGTTGCCAAAGAAAAAGGTGATGATAAATCAAGTTGCATGGTTGTAAAAGAGAACAAATTAATCATAGAAAGAAGAGGAGAGAGAGAGGAGGTGGCAGAGGCTAAATTGAACAGGTGCTTGTAGTGGTGACTGAGAGAGAGAGAGAGAGAGAGGGAGTGCTAATGGGATGAAGTGGGGAGACTTATATAGAAGGGACAAAGGGTTTGTAGGTGACAGGCGTCACCACATTTATGGGAACACCTTGCTCTTCAACCCCTCTTTTAGGGCTACAACCCAACCTTGCACTTTTACAATTTCCTTTCTCATTTTTCACTTGATACTTCTGTTTCTCTTTGGACACGTTCTTCAGGACGATGAGGTACGGCTCACGCTTTGCATACCTCTGTATATAATGCCATACGTTATGTATTCAACACTTATCTCCAACAAATTTTAAACTTTAAAAAAGAATAACTTTTTATTCTGCTAGCTTCTAGTCATTCGATTAAGAAAATATCAGAAATCATCCAGAGCAAATGATTAAGCCGCAGTAGTTATGTGAATCAACAGCCAACGATTAAGAAAAGATGAGAAATCATCCAGAGCAAATGATCAGGCCGTAATAGTTTTGTGAGTCAACAACCAACCATTAATGAATGTTCTATGTATCGTTTCGCAAATTTAATGATAACTTCTTGAAGAAGTGATTTAACCTTTAAATTCTAACGAAATATTTATCCTTTAAACGGTGAAAATTATTTAAAGATGTTCCAAATTATCTAACTTAGATTATACTACTTACTAGTGAAGCAGGAAAAACAAAAAAAAAAAAAAGGAGAGGAAACTGTACTTCACGCTCCGAAGTTAAAGCGTGGTTATATGCGCGTATACAAGGAACGAAAGACATGAGACTGCCTCCGTGATTAGCTCAAACTGATCGTCACCTGTCAGCCCGGCCCTTCGCGGCCCAGCCCGACCAATCTTATCCCGTCAAGGTATTCCGAACCATTGTGTTAGCGTATACGTGTAATTAGCCAGGTTGTATAGCTTGGTTATGTTTATGTTGTCAATTTTTCCCTATTGTGACTTGGAGTTTTCACGCGTCACTGTATTAGGTACATGCGTACCCCAAACAGTACCACCCTCTTAGTTCGTAACTTTCATCATAAATTACGTGTTAAGTCATGAAGACTAGTTTGGATGAACATGCATACTATAAGATGTTACATAGATCTAATATGACGATTTCATTGGCCGATTAACAAGCAAAAATCAAAATAACAATGCTTCTTGCAGCGGCTAAACCTTTAAACAAATGTACAAAATATTAGATCATATAAATATAAACCTGTTAAGTTTTTTTTTTTTTTAATAACTTTAGTTATCCATACTATAAATAAAAATAACATCATTTATATTTATAGTCATCCTTTAATAAAATTTAATAAAAAACATAAAATTTTTATATGGTTTAATTATTTTTATTTTTTTGTTGAATCGTTTCTAACAATGCGGCCACCTTTCGGCGACTTTGTCAGTGCTGGAGAGTCACCCGAGCTAGCTAATTGCCATTGCCTTTTGAGTTCGTCTTTTTGCTATAGTATACATTATTATCCTATATACTAAAGGAAAATGGTTTTTCACTGTAGTTATGATTCAGTGTAAAATCACTATTTATTACTACAGTGTTTTTTAATAAAAATTTTCATTAGTTTTTTTTGCCTAGGCCCGTCCCCCTACCCACCCACCCAACAATCAGTACTGTTCATTTGAACAGTAAACCCCTGCCCTCCTTCTTTTTGTTTGTTTTTGTAAACATTTAAATTTTTTAAAAAATTTTCATTCATTTACTGTTCATATGAACAGTAATGGCTTGCACTCTTTTTTTTTTTTTTTCTAAACATTGAATTTTTCTTTTTAATTTCTGTTTCTTAATAGAAAATTTTAAAAGAACTAACAATTAATTAGTGTGTTAAAATTTTAAAGAAACCAACAATTTATTTTCTTTATTATTTATTTTTAAAATTTTTAAAAATAAGAAATAGTTAAATACAAAATTTTTTATTAAAAAATTATAATTATTTTTTACCATAAAACAGATTATTAAATTGAAATAATTTTTCTAAACGATTTTATATATTTTATCCAACCCGTGACATAGAGCATGTAAAAAATCTAATACTATATACTAAAAAAAAACCATTTTTCACTATAGCAATGAACATTATTAATCACCGTTCATTGCTATATTACTTTGGCTTTTTTTATTTTTTAAGTTTTCATTTTTTTTTCCAACACCAGCTGGCCTTCCCTCCTCCCTTTTTTTTACCCGTTTATTGTTCATTTGAATGGTAAACGGCTTGCCCTCTTTTTTTTTTCTCTAAACACTTTTTTTTAATTTCCGTCCGTTTACTATTCAAATGAACAAGTAAATGGTCGGCCTCCTTTTTTTTTTCCCTAAACATTGAATTTTTTTTAATTTTAATTTCTTAATAATATTAGGTGTTAAAATTTTAAAAGAACCAACAATTAATTGGATGTTAAAATTTTAAAGAAATCAATAATTTATTTGCTTTATTATTTATTTCTAAAATTGAAAAACACAAATAAGAAATAGTTACATATAAATTTTTTTCATTTAAAAATTATAATTATTTTTTATCATAAAACAGATTATTAAACTAAAATAATTTTTTTATATAATTTTATATATTTTATCCAATTCGCAGCGTAACGCGGTAAAAAATCTAATACTACTACTATAGCATATGCTTAGCCTGACATAGAGTATACTACTACTATATATGTTCTTTCCCACCTTTATCTTTAACATTGCACTGGAGAAGGGCAAGACTAGACAAACTCTTTATCTTTTTCTTTCTCACTAGCATTTGCAGTTTAGCAGTACCCCCATTGTTTTATGGAGGCATGCAATGTTATGTGCATGCATGCTTGGAACATGCACATGAAAACAATGCTTGGCCAGCTACTCTACAATGATTCAGTTGGCCGGAATGTAATAGAAAGCCAGCTAATGTAATATAAAATGTTTTTGTTTTCGCCTTTCCAATAGTAATTCCACTCACAATTTTAATTTTACTTGGATTGATGTCTTGTGATTATAATATAAGTGTAATTAAAATGAAAATTCAATCTTGAATTGAGATAAAAATGGAAGAATCAATTAATTGGTGTGGAGTGATGAGTTATGCTCATCCATTCCTTCAACCAAAAAAAAAAAACTTAATTAAATACATACAACTTTCCAGTCCACAAACATGACTTGTACGTTTTGGTGAAAACCGAAAGCAATTACGAAGGGGAAATGGTGAAAAATATGGCAGTAAAATAACGGATCAGAAGGATAGGAAGTAGTCGAGTACCAACAGAATCTTTAACTCAAAAGCTGACGTGTTTTTCTGTTTTAGTTGGCAGAAGAGATGAAGCCATGCACACACGTGTGGTAGCACCCAAGTCAAAAAAGAGTCACCAACCAGTTCACGTGGTAACACCTGCCTCGATCAGCATCCTTAATCCAAGTGCCCTCTTCCTCTCGCTTGGTACTCTCCTTCCTAACTAATACTAGCCACCTGTACAGTACAACCTTGGAACGCCTCTTCCGTTTCTGCCGAGCAAGTTTTTGGTTTTCCTTTTCGGTTCGGAATCTTCGTTCTCTCTCACTCTGTCTCTCTCTCCTTCTTTTCTCTTCTTTTCTTTTCTCTTCTTTTCTATACCACCAAAGCTGGCACCCACTACTATCCCATCCGTACCACCCGCACTTGTACTTAACACGTGTTTGGTGACCTTATAAGCTCCCTAATTTTCTTCCCTTCGTATTAACTTTTTACTACTAATTGCCATCTTGGCCATGGAAACGGAATTTAATGGGGGCGGCCGCAAGTAAATCCCAACACGTTTTTTAAACTGGTCTTCGCAAAGAGGGCTCCAGTGCCACTTGGACGGCCTCCATATCCCCAACTGTCCACTACCCTCCAGATCGACGATAACTTAGATCCCAGGGTGTGTACGTGGAGGGTTGTGATTGGGTAGGTCCTTAAGCAAACAGATTTGCCTGGATTGTGTCCTAGTTGTCAACGTAAACGTGGCGACCCCTTGACAAGACAGTGTTTTATAGGACCCACATACTTTATCTTCCTGGATCGTGACCACAGGTGATGATATGGGTGTATCTTCGTGATCATCATTGGGGATCGCGAGGAAAGCAATATGCATGCACTTTAGGCCCAGCATAATTGAAGGTTCTGTCTATGATATGCTTATTATTATTTTTTTATTAAGTATTAAATTTATAAACTGTGACGTGCCGCATTGGATCATGAATTGATTTATTACAACGCAGCATCGGCATGGGTTACATGCATATATCCTCGTTGGCATTGATGTTCTTGTGTTTGAACACATTTTAGAAATGCACAAACCTTAAAAAATAATAAGAAGAAAATTGCAAGATAGTTTTTGCAAGCTTTGGTTTTCTATTGATGGAGAAGATATTTTCGGAAGGAAGGAAGACTTTGAATAACAAATGTCAAACTGGGGAGTTGGCAGGACCACGATATCTTGCTAATTATCGACAATTTTTTAACCACGGGGATTGTCGTCCATTTGATTATTCTATGGTTCTCAAAGTTAGCCCGATACTGGAGAAGATAAATAAAACATCCGTAAAACAATATACTATACGTTTTTTTCATAGCTGAAATAAAGAAGATATTTGCTTGTTAATAATTATTATAAGTTTGTGGATTGCTGATTTCGCACGGCCGAGAAAATTATACAAAGATGATGTGTATATGAACAGTATCATTATGGTCTTCAACCTATCAAATAGTTGTCTTCTCAACGTCTTGCACTGTTTCTTTGTTATTTTTATGGATTTTATTTTCTTTATATATATATATATATATATATATATATATATATAGAAAATAAAAAAGATAAATAGGTTATTCCATGTCTTCTCACGTTTATATTGGCGTCAAAAACTTAAGATCTTTGCAAGGATTTCTTCCTGTACCTAATTTGGAGGAAATCTGCTATAAAGTTAGACTAATCTGCCCACTTTGAC